GGTGTAGTTCTGGGGTTGTAAATAACGTCCTCCACAGGGTAAAGCCTGGCCTCTTTTCTTACCCCTAAGGCCTCTGGAACTTACTTTGTAAGCCCTGTCCGCATGTCATGTGGCTGCACAGTGATAGGTCATGCTGAAGCGACAACCTTCTGGAGGCAGTCAGTGCATAACCGATTCCTTCCACTGTTTTCTCCTCATAACCAGATCCTGGTGAAGAATCAGACATCTGACAAATAATAATAACTAAATATTACCTGTGGTAAAGTATTAAGAAAAAATGTGCACTGTTAAATTCTATAAGAAACCAGCGAAACAGCTTTAAAACAGTCTGAAGACAGCACTTATCCATGTCTGGAGACCCTGCAAAAACTTACCCAATAAGTGTATGGTTACTGTAATTTTCCCTTTATTTTAGGCACTTTCGGGCAATTGCCCTTATCCAAGATGGCTGCCACAACTTGTATTCCCACAATGCAAGTCATCTGTATTAGACCCAATAAGGCACAAACTGCACATGTGGGCCTATTCCGAGTGTGTTTGCTGTTAGAGACCAGGGAGAGGACTCTGTCTGAAGCCTACATGGCCCCTAAACACCCAGTGACCGGGAATAAATCACTGGGACCGAGGGGGAAGCAAAATAGAGAACAAAAGTGCCTGCAAGGAAGTTTAAATGGCAACCAGGTGCAAAAAGTCAAAGTTTAAAGGCACCACAGTCTAAAGGCCTCAATGTATAAAAGGTAACACAGTTTTCAAATCCACAGTTTCCAAAAATGTAACAGTTTTTAAAATTATATCAGTCTTCAAATGCACTGCAGTTTTCCAAATGTACTGCGGTTTCCAATGACTTGCGGTATTACAGTACAATATTAAATGCAAATTTAAATGAAAGTTTTAAATGCCACACAGCTTAAATGCTTCCTAGCAAAAGCACAATCGCATAATGTACCACAATCCTAAAAATAAGGTACAGCTGTATAATGCACTAGTTTAACCCCTTAAGGACACATGACATGTCATGGTTCCCTTTCATTCCACAAGTTTGGTCCTTAAAGGATTAAAGATATCAAAGCTTAAATGCATCACAACATAAAAGCACAACTGCATAATGTACTACAGTAAAACAGGCAAATAAAGTAATGAAGATAAAACAACATACATGTCCGTAAGTAAAGGGAGCAAATTGCTCACGTCCTAAGGGCTGTAGGACAGGAAAAAGACTGAGGACCTTAGGGATGGAGCCTCCTTTTAAAACCTTGGTGGTTTTCCTGTCCTATCGGCTGTAAGGGGAGGAGCTAACCCATGTGTATATGCTGCCATGATTAGCCAGGAAAATAGTTTTATACAAGTCATCATATTTCCTGATTTACAAGCATCCTACAAATCCCAAGTGTGGATAATAGCACCAACGCTTTTCCAACCAGAGTAAGTCATTGGAAACGTTAAGTAAGATAGCACTTTAGCACCTACCTTTTGTATTGATATACTACACAATAAGACTTTTCCTGCTTTATCTCTCCTACATATATTGGACGTCAACTGTAGCAAAGTTCCACATACCCTGTATGTCGCCTGGACGGTACAATCAGAGGATATCTGGAGCTTTGCTATAGTTGATGTCCAATATATGTAGGAGAGATAAAGCAGGAAAAGACTTATTGTGTAGTATATCAAAATTAGTCACAGCCAGGAGAGGTGTGGCTAGGGTTGTATAAACAGAAACAAAGTGATTTAACTCCTAAATGGCAGAGTAGTGAGACTGCAGGCGCATGGTCTATACACCAAAACGGATTGATTAAGATAAAGTTGTTTTGGTGTACAGAGTTTCTTTAACCCCTTAAGGACCAAACTTCTGGAATAAAAGGGAATCATGACATGTCACACATGTCATATGTCCTTAAGGGGTTAATTAAAACTGCTCATAACAAGCCATGCTTGTTGGAAATGATAAGGAAGGTGTCCCCCACGTACGGAAAATGTGTTCTAGTGAGGCCATGCTACACAAGTATTCAGATTCTGTAATGGAACCCACTAAATTCCACATTAGTCACAAAAAGAGTTGTCATTTATTTTCTGCTCTATTTCTGCTGTGCCGCATTTTATTAAAATAAAATACACTTTTTATATGTTCAAGAGGAGGAGGAGGTTAGACAGACTTACCTGTGGAGTGGGAGCCTCTGCCCTAGTCTGTGGTGAAGGTAGAAGGTATACTATATCAAATAAAATTGCCATATATCAGTTGTGGCTCGATTTACCTACCTGAGCTCATAACGATCAGTCACTTCCTGAGTTGATCTGGACTCACTACAGAAAGCTGCAAATCTAGTGGTATGTTTTTCTTAACCTATG